AAGAGGGAAAAAATTTCTTTTTGGTTAGCCACTAATGCCAGGAATGCACAAGTATCTGTATATCAAGCTCTTCAAACTTTTGAAACCAGTCTGAATCAACATATACCAATTTATTAAATTCTTTTGGGTCTTCAAGGTTTTTCAGTTCCAGGCATGTCTTAGAGAATAAGTTCCTTATCCAGCTAAGAATTTTAAGTGATATTTACCTGAGCTTATTGTCCTGTCTGCACTTATAAGGTTGTATAATAGTCATAAAATTTTACCTAAAGGATTAAAAAGTTTAAATTGGAGATTTTGAATTGCACTAAAATTGTATCTTCTTATCCAGACATGAGTTAAGGATAATAGTGAACTTGACCAATGTATCAAGTTCTAGTGAATTCAGATAGTACTCTTTTAACTTGTAACCCTCTTATCCAAAGCCTATTTCAGCTGTTTCACATCTACCCATCCTTGGCACCTAAATTCAGTATTTCATCAGATTCTGGGTGTTCAAGTTATCTTACCTACATTGTCATCTCAACCTTATTAAATGTGGGGAGAGAGGTTAAAGGGCCACTAATGCCAGGCCTATTTCACAATTTTCCCTAGGTTTTAAGTTTGCTAGCTTTGACAAAAGGGCAGTGGCACTTTCCCTAATTATGTGTGTGACATCACCCGTTATGGTGCCTGCTTTTGTCCTTTAAAGTTTCAGGTATAACAGGTGTCACAACGAAAAAGTATTCACTAAAATTCTGTATATGCCATCTCCTTGAATCCTGTTAGGTGCTTGTGTCTAGCTTATCTGATTGATCCAAGCCCCTGCAATTTGCCTCAAACCATGGCAATGTCAACATACTCAAATACTTTAGTATCAAATGACCCTTTTCCTCCCTTCCTAAATTTCTGTAAACATTAAGGTCTCTGGAGTCTTCAACCTGGTCTTAGGAATATCACTGGTGGTTCTTTAAAATTCATGTATTAGCTTGAGACATACCTCAAAGCAATAAAAGCGGGCCCGTTATTCAGTTTAACTTTGTGAAGCAATTCCAAAGTTTTTTCCTCTGAGCTATATTTTACCTTGTATATTTTTAGTTCACTGTGGAACCTCCAGTGCCAACTTTAAAATTTTCTTTTGCTATAGGGTGTGTGTGCTTGCCAGAAAGAAAAAGCAAGAAATCACCCCCTACAGGGTGGGTAACCACGCTGCACTCCCTTTTCCATTCTCTCAGGATCTTGTGCACTCATGCACACGTACCTGGCATCCGCTTAAGCTACCAGGTCCAGGACTCAAACCAGTTGACTAGTACCAATGTTCTTAAGATATCAGTATTTTCCTGTGTGATGGTTATTACTCTGTAATATGGCTCCATGAAACATTTCCAAGAACTCAGATTTTAGCCTTATACTGGGCATTCACTGTACTAGGCACAGTAAATGGTGTGCTCAAAAACTCTGTCTCAAGAGATTCTCCTGCATTATAAGCCCATATTTACTGCACTAAAGGTCCCATGGGCCAAAGTCAAAATTCCACTAAAAAATTTTGGGAACCAGCAGTTAGTGTAATGGCTATGTCACTGGACTCTCAAAGAAAAAAAATCCATTAAAATTTTAAAGGTGGGAACCAGCAGTTAGCATAATAGCTATGTCGCTGGACTCCCATGTAGTCG